CCAAGCCCTTCCAATTCTTGCATAGAACTCTTCTGCCTGGCTGAATGTGATGAGATCATCCATGATTTCCTTCTTCTTTTCAGCCTCCATTGCAATCGTATCAAAACTAGCCGGATGCTCGAACACTACATGCCTCCAGTATGATCCACTGTTGGTGTAGAGCTTCCTTTGCCGGTTTTTCATCTTGATTGCGTCACCCTCTTTCAAGACATGACTCAAGTAAGTCCCGAGTATGAGATTCCGGTGTCTTTTATGGAAAGTGAGCGTGTAGTACATTCTCTCATCCGTTACTGGATAGAAAGAAAATGATTGTGTCTTGGAAAGATGTTTCCCAGAAGCCCACCGTAGCTTGACTCCTTGGAACTCGTCAGTAACCTCTTCAAAGTCATCCATGCTAAGAACAAGGGACTGGGTGCCGTTCTTGACGACATCGGCCTTGAGCCGCTTAGCCTGCATAGATGAACTGGAGCCAAGGTAGTTCTCAATAGCAGAGTAAGCTTCACTACGCATGAAACGATCTCCAGTGAATTCATTGAACGTAATTTGAATGAAAGGGTAAACAAAAGTGAAGACTCTTTTGGAGTGTTTCTCGAAATAGTTTTGCAACTGATATGGACAATATTGCTTGAACATAGCCCAAAGAAACATAACACTCGCAATCACAGATCCCAACTGAGTAAACGTATCCACTGCCTTCATTCTTCCTTTTTTATCTGCTCCCCTTCTTCCCCTATCTTGAATGAATGTTTCGCTGCAACAATTTTATAACCCAGGGAGCAAGGACGGAGATGATCTTATTGGCCAAGTCGGTCAGTCGTGCGATGGCAAAACTTAAGAACCAAGAGAGAGAATTTCAGAAAAGTTTGCGTTTGATATTTTATTTTATTTTTGTTTAATGAACACTCAATATTCCTCGGATATTTATAAAGTCACATTCTAATTCAATATATAATTTAAGATGAATAATCCTAATAAGAATTTAGAATTTCTTTCATAACTTCTCTTACAGAGATTCTAATCCTTTCAATTTCTTCTTCTAATTTCATATTGAGCTCTGCCACCTGATAGGCGATCTCGATTTCTCACATGGTATCATCACATGCGACGTATCCATGTCTTCTTGCAATATTGTTTTGTTTTTGAAGTCTTGGTCGTCTTTTAAAAAATTAAAAAAATTCAAAGGTGTCAATTATGTGTTGTGACATGGGAGAGTTTTTATTATGGATTTTCACAATAATAAAAAGATTTTGTTCCTCAGTTTTTTTTTTTAATTTTAGTCTTTTAATTTTTTTATTTTATTTTTTAATATTTTATCGATATTAGTTAATCTTTTATATTTATTTTTATACCATGGTACGAGGACCTTGCAGTGTTTAGGGAATGTTACATTGTTTAATTTAATAAATTAAATTAAATTAAATTTCATTAATTTAAAAAAAAATTGAAGATTCAAGGATTAAAATTGAAAATAAAAAAAAATATTCAATGCTTTATATTTGCTAAGACTAAAGACTGATTTACATAGTCAAGTTAGGATTTTTTTTCTTCCAGTTACTCAACTTTTTTTTTTAATTTAGTTTTTTCACATTGATCTTATTTTAGATATAATTTGGTAGTTTGATTTGGTTGTTTGGAGATGAGGTCCTCGCAATGTTAAGAGAAAATTTTGACTCTAAGATGATATTTAGTTTGGAAAAATAAAATAGATTTATGTTCCTATAAAATAATTAAATGGTCAAGGATCAAGATTGAATGTAAAACAATATGGTGGGCTAGGGTAAACATGCAATGCAAAGTGGCCAGCGGATGTGTCGCAAGCACTAACATCTGGAGACTAGTTATCGTGTTCTGACTATGCATGTAAATTTCTACAATAATAGAACACATCATTAATAGTTGTGTTGGAAATATCACAACAACATCTTTTTAATGGTGTAATGCATGTTATTATTGTTGGTGAGTGAAAAATTATTATTTTTCTCTTTTTTTTTCTCGAAATTCATGCTGTTTTGCTTTAAAAAAAATATCTTGTCATTTATTTTTATTAGAATTTAATTTTTATTTATCTTTTAGATTCTTTAAAATCAAATTTCTATTTAAATTTTATCTTTCAAAATTAAATTTAATTAATAATTGAGTTTAATAAAATTTTTTATGTGATGATTCTAGTTTCATAATATAGATCATGAGTTTAAAATATTAATTTGAGTTGATATTGATTTTTATTTTATTTTATTTATTTTATTTTTTAATATGGAGTTTATTAAAAATTAAATTTGATGATTTTCTTTATATTATTTTCTAATAATTCATAATAGCTTTCTATCTTTTAATTCAGTCTCTCTCTTTTTGTTTTTTTATCATATGAATAGATAAAGTCTTCTGATTGAATCCAGTCATTCCATCTTACCTAAGTTATATATATATAAAAAAAACATTATTATATATATTTAAAAAACTCAGCCCACCTTGCGACATAGCACAGGGTTACGTGTGCAGGGGATGTCTGCGGGACCATCCATGAAAATACTTTTATATGTATATTTTGGTTTGGAGTTGTTGGAATGGGAATAGGAAGAGCACCGAGACGGGCTCACTTTCTTTTATATATATATATATATATATAGAATAAGGTTAAAGAGGCAGCCAGCTGTTTGAGAACATGTATGGATGGTGTCCTCTTCGTCTTCCATTTTCATCATTTAGCGACTTCAAACAATTATTAAGTATAAATCTTAGGTTTTCACCTTTTCACTATACGTAAAGCTCTCTTATTGATTATCTGACGACACACGTTACGGTGGTGGATGAGCTCTTCTGAAATTTTTGTTTTTTTATTTGATTTTCAATTTTTATTTTAATGATTTAATTTAAATTCAAAATTAATTGATTTTGATTTTCTATAAAAAAAAAATTAAAAAAAAACAAAAAAAAAAAAACATAGATGGCGTGTTATAAGTTTCAAGTTTAGTAAAAAATTCATTTTAGTCTTTAAATTTTAAAAATCACGTAACCTGTATAATTTTAATCTCTCAATATTTTTTTAATTTATTTTTAGTATAAAAAATTATTTTTATTATATTTTAGTTTTTAATTGAAAGGGAGAGAGAAGGGTAGCCGTATTCAAGTCATGGAGAAAAAAAAACAATAATTGTGTCAAATGATTCTATTTAATAAGAGAAATTCATATTAAAATTTATGTTTTTTTACTTTAAAGCTCATGAAAATAGAGATCTCAAATTGGGCTAATTTTTTATTTGGATTAATTTCAGTTTTGTTTTTGGGGTTTTTGATGATATAAATAGGTTTATCTTGATTTCTATGATATTTTATAGATATTTTAGGTTAAAAATGGGTTGAAAATAAGTGTTTTGGTTAAAAAACTTAAACCCTGATTTTTCAATCACTACAATAAATAGAATCTCAACAGAACAGGTGACAGAGCTAGCTTGACTTGCTAGGCCCAATAGTTGGCCCTTGCTATTTTTTTTCTAATTATTTTTTAAAATTAATGATTTTTTTCATTTATTTTTCACTAAATTATTTTAATTTATATTTAAATTAGTACTTCTTCTTTTTTATTTTTTTTAGAGAACCACTTTTAAATGACGATTATTTTTTTAGTTATACATTTAAATTTGAAAAGTTTTTCTTATTCATCTATATTTTTTATATATTTTGTATGGATGAACTTTATTTTTGAAAATAAAAAATTTATTTTTAGATTATATTTTTAATATGTGCAACCTTGTATAATATTTTATTTTTACCTTTTATTTTATGTGATGAATTTGATTTGTATCTCTATTTCTATTATTTTTTACTTGAATAAAAAAAATATTTTAGTAAACAAACTTAGCAAATACAACAAGGTAAATATCCCGTCTTTTAAGATTAAATATCTTGATATAGATCTATTTTTTTAATTTTTCAAGTTTTATTTTTATATCTCGTCAATAATTATGATAAAAATTATTTATTTATTTATTTGTACACATAATTCTCAACTTATTTAATTACTTGTAAATATTAAAGTTTTAATTTGAACTTGATTTTTTAAAATTATAGAAATGTATTGAAAAAACTTGTTTATAGAATTTTTTTATAAAAAATAAAAATAATTACTTAAGTAATAAGTCATTTTGTAGATAAATTAACATTAAAAAAACATTTTATTAATACTAACATTTTTTTAATTCATCAATTCTTGTATTTTTTTAATTTAATTTATCAAGCATAAATAATATTTTTTTCAATTAAAAAAAATATCATAATACTAGAAAATGCATTTATAACACCGACGCCTCATTCTCTTGCATTAAAAACTAACTTGAATCCTATTCACGGCTCATTACGGGTTATATAACTAATATAAGCTAATTCTTTAGAAAAAAAAATAAAAATAGATTACAATTTACAAATTAGACAAGCTAAATTATTTTAAATTAATAAAATCGACTAAATATAAATCAAATAATCAAAATGATATGCATAAGACGCAGCAAATATAAAAATATATGTCATGCGATTTTTCGAAACATTAAATCGAGGGAACTTGGTATTTTATATCTATCATTGCAGTTTTAATGTCTCCGAAGAGACAACTTGGCTATTACCAAAAGAAAAAAAGAAAGGAATTAAAAAAATAAAAATGGCCATCATTGGCCAGTATCAGTCAACGGATTCCAACAAGTCATCAGCTCTTGTTGACTTGGCTGATCACCCTCTGATCCTCCTCTCCCAGTGATGTCATTCCGCCATTGCAAAGAGTGTCTGTTCACCTTGACAGAAGGGCTCTTCCAACCAATGCGCTCTTTCAACTAATCAGAAGCTCATTTTTTGCTTTATCTCCCCATATTTGTTGAGTTCTTTCAATGTTGGTAGTGCACAGCTATCAATTTCTAGCTCCCTTGACCTGCTATCAGATGATGTCTACAATTGTCGTCATCTTCATTTTATGATTCTGGTAGGTTGAAAAACTTCTCACGGTAACAGATGCATTTATGAAAGAGAACAAAAACCCCTGATGGAGTTGGTCTTCCGCAATTTCTTAGCAGTTCCATAACCAACTCCATCAAGAGCTTCTATTGAATTGATGCACCAACAAGGTCACCGTTTACATGAATTACTGTTCGATTGTAAGCTACAAATTCTTTCGACAATTAAAATTGCATGAGCATAAAATAAAAGTCCATAGCACGAGCATATACAGTAAATCCCCTAAACAGAAAAATGTCACAAGTTGAGAAATTCATTGTGGAGCATTTGATTCTGGGCTAGATGAGCAGAGTTAACATGAATTTTAAGTTCCAAAATTTCCTGGTCCTCAGTGATTGCGCCTCATCTTATAGGACACGTAACTTTTATTCAGGGTTTACCACATCATCTGCAGGAGCAGCAAGCTGTCTATTGTTGTAAACATGTTCAATTGGATGCAGCCCCGGTAGACACTTCAGCTGTCTCATCTCTTCTTGGTCGTTTTATTGGCGCTGGACTGGATTCCTCATCAATTTGATCAAGGACCTGATCGTTTCTTTCCTCTGGTGCCTTTTGCTTTCTGCTTATACTCTGGGAACTTTCTTCTAGTAAAGCACTCTCATTACTTGTTTTGACAAGGTCCAACTCTGAGGCTTCTAATTTGTTATTTGCAGATGACTGCTCTAACTTTGCTTGTAGAAGGGAAGGGTCTTCTTGGGAGGAGGAAGGAGCCTTGGACTTGTCATCCTCAATCTTTCTTTGTTTCTCAAACATCTCTTGAAGATACCTCCCCTGCTCCTCGATCCTCAATTGTAAATTTCTCTGGATCTGTTAAAGAGGATAAAACATAATTATCAGAACATGCCGCAGAACTGTAGTTACAAAAACCATGCACACATATGTTGTATTTCCACTCCATCAATGTAATATTACAGGTTACCAACTTAACTACTGGTTAGCATTACATCTAAACAGTTCTGCCAAAAAGGTAAAAGAAATTGCCATCTAAATTCTAAACCACATACACTGAAGCTCAAATATCAATAGTATACCTCAAGTTGTTCATGGAGTCGCTTCTGAACTTCCATTTGCAATCGCAATGCTTCTGTGATCCCCATACTCCTGTTTTTGAAGCATAGATCAGCCTAAATTCAGCTTAATAGTCCATTGTTATTAATAATGATAAAACCCACTCCAGTTCACATACGAGTAAAGGAAAAATGACGCATGCATATTCTCTGATTAGACACTAATGCATCTTAAGGAGAAGAATATCACCCTCCTTCTCCAAGGGTTCACAAAACCCACTACACAGACAGCAAAGGATATAGGAGTTCTCAGTAAAACGAGAACTTAGGAAAAAGCTTTTATCTCCAATGTTCCAGACAAAAAAATGTGAATTTTCTTTTCACCCAACTCCTTCTTCACCTCTGCCTATTTATATCTTCCCCTCCTCCAAAACAGTTTTGAGAGGAGAACGTGTCTTTGGCACATCCTTTGGTTTGTTTTGCATTGTTAAGTCATAAATATTTTGATATGGGGAACTTGAGCACCAAAAATAAAAAAATCCAGGCCTTCTCTGTACATTGGTCATAGCCACACTATTTATTCTGCTCTCCTTTCGGAGAAAACCTAGTCATTGTACATTGTCTTATCATAAATGCACGTGGAGATTCCACCAGCCACAACTGAAGGAGAACTATTAGAAACCAAAGTCAGAACTTAAAAGTTGAAGGGGCTTCTAACCATCACATCATTAAAAATCTACAGAAGTATACCACAAAGCAGTCGTATAGATGAACTACTATGATTAAAAATTAAAATAAGGTTAGTACTGGATAAGTTTGATAACTACAAATCATTCAATATGAAGAAAGGTTGATGTCAAATTGAATTCGTGGTAGAGGATAACTTACGTCTTCAAGTCAAGAGATTTCATTTCTTCAATGGGACTCGTTTTTTTCTCTGAAGTTCATGAAAAAGCACGGTTATGTTTTGTAAACCACATAGAAAAGGGGGGAAAAAATAAAAATAACAACAGTACATGTTTTTCCATGCCTTTCCATAATCTAAAAATAACAAATAGAAGGTAACAAAGACACATACAACTACAAAAGGTTTTGGATAAAGTACGTATGAGAGTTTAGCAAAACTTGGATAATGTCAGAAAAGAAAAGGAAGTCAGTTAGCGTTACCATCAGATGACTCTGGTTTATATCTAGCACTTCTGTACTTCTGAAATTCAGAAAAGATGATACAAGCTAAATCAGTAAAATATAAAACTAGACTCTTAGGGGAAACAATACAAGGCTGAGGATTTGCATGCCTGCAGGTGGCTTTTAACATGATAGATGGTCAACCCTTCAACATTCATGTGCTTCAAGACACCCTTGGGAGTAGCTCCTGTAATTCAAAATCAAAGCGATCAAGATTCATGACTAGATGCACTTAATTTTTGCTGACAGAAGGTATAATTTAACTAGTAAGACCACTCACTTTCACTACCCCCAAGCTGATCGACAGCTTCCACAAAAGCCTCATGAAGTTCTGGTGTCCAGCGCATTCGGGGTTTTGTTGTGGGTGCAGCGGACAGTGGATTAGCAACACCGCATACTTCTCCACTATGAGCAGTTTGATGCTGATGAATTGGGGGTTGTTGCACTGAGATATTAGGAGATGGCTTCAACTCCTGGTACATTATTTAAAGTTATAAGGAAACAAAAGTAACAACAGAATGTGAAAAAGAAAGAATAATCATAAGATGGAGAAATTTTACAATATGAACATTAGACACCAAGGAGACATCTTTATGCTGTGTACGCTGTTAATTACCGCACTGGAACAAAAACCATAATTATAAGCGGAACAAACCTTCTGTCTGGAATCTTTCTTGTTGACATCATTCAGAATTTCACTCCAATTTGGTTCCAGTTCATCATCAACAGAGATCAACTGATCTGCCCACTCCTGCCAGTCTGTTCTCTTAGCATGATCCTCGGATGCAAAGACACCTGCACTGCTTTCCACCTGACCATTTTGGACATGGACATTTTCAGCTAAATCAAGCAAGTCCTGAAGTGGATCAACAGGCCAGGAGAGATCCTTATTTTCATCAGAGCAAGCAATGAATTCTGTAGTTTGCACTTCTGAATGAGAATCATGGGCTGGTGTAAAATTTCCTCTGTCCCTTAGTGACTGAGAAATGAATGGAGAATTATGAGACTGCTTTCCTTGTGGTGAAACTGAAGAGACACGCATATCATTGGAAAATCTAGAAGATGATGAAAACAATGGCCCAACACTCCTGCTACCAGGACTCAATGGCGATGCTTGCTGAGATGCAGAATCTCTCATCATTTCCCTTTCCAAAGAAACCTGAAAAGAACAAAGCAAATTGGGATGCTTTTCTTCAACGGCAGTAGGAAGAACTGGAAAAGATGAGGACATAGCCTCAGAAACCCTCAAGTTACTCAACTGACTTACAACTAAACACTGATGAACAAAGGAAGTGAATGAAACAAGTGCCAGTAACACAAACACTAGTTACAAATTTAAACGTTTCCCATTGTGGAAACAATAGAAGACAAGCCAGCAGTGAAATTGGATTCTGGCGCATTAAATCCAAAATGATGAAATTAATTCTGGTCACAGAAACTTTAAGCCCACAACATTTCAAAAATTATTAAGCCCACTTTCCATTACTAAAGGACATCAAGAAGGAAGTTAGTTCAGTGAGATGAGGTTGGAATGGAATCGGCCAGTCTCAGGATCTCATCAATTTAATTCAGCAGGTGTTGCAAGCCATATGAAATAGCATAACGAGTTAAGAAGGTAAATTCTTTTCAGAAGATAATCTTGCATTGCATGAATGCTTGAAAAAGAAATTATCTGCGAAAACTAGGAAAAAAGAGCAAAAAAAACATAGAAACCGTCCTGTAAATCAAACACCCTACACAATCCAATTCGAACACTTAGAATTATATCAAAACCAAATAGCATCCGTACAGAGACACCCTAGAAGCTGTTTTCTGTAGTAAACTACCACTGTATCTTAAACCATGAAAACTCCATCCTTTGGTAGAGATAAGCAAAAGGTTCAACACATCAAAACCATAATTCCACCATAAAAATAAAAACGCCAATACCAATCACCACTATCCAATTGAATTACCACTAAAGATGAACCAAAACACACAGAAAAATTATTAGCAACATAAAAACACCATTACCTTAAAGTAACCCCACAACACAGAAAAAAGAAGAAGAAGAAGAAGAAGAAGCTTAACAGCCCAACTCACAATCAACCAAAACCTCATAAAAAAACACACTCAAAATCACTTAAGGAAACCAAAACAAAAGGTGGGTATCAATTGTCACTAGCAAAAACAAACAATATCACAAAAAAGAAGAAGATGAAGGTGATATCACAAAAAGTTCAAAACTCTTAAACTCAAATGGGTTGATAAGAATCTCACCTGGAATTAAGAGAAGATAAAGATTGAAGCTTGCTACAATTGGATAAGAACCCAATGGAGAACAAGAAGAAGAATATTGAAAAAAGACACAAACTTCTGTCTTCTAAATTTCAAAAAACTCTGATCTCCTATGATCATAGAAGAGAAAACGTAATTAGTTTGTCCAGCAAATACAAAGGCCTGTCTTCAAGTTTTGTCTCATTACTTCCCAACCGTTGTTTTCTTGTGAAGTTGATTGATGGGGGGTTTGTACGGTCGAGATGGGAGAAGGCAAAGAGAAAAGATGGGTGGTGGTGTGTACGGATTTGATGGCTGCTATAAAAAAAGATGTTGGGGCCACCCCTTGTTTCTTTTGGGACTTCTCAATTCGCCAAGTCTACTCTGTTTCTCCTTCCAAAAAGTTTTTGAGAATTTTTTAATTTTAACTATTTTTTTATAATTTTAAATCATTTTAATATATTAAAAATAAAAATAAATATTTTTAAATAAAAAAACAACTCTCAAGACAAAATAAACTCTGATTGACGATATTTTTGTAGGATAAGACATTGTTTTCAAAAAAAAAAAACACATGATGTTTGGTACCGGCATGTTATTTTACTGTAATATTAAGTAAAAACAGTGTTTGATAATTGATTTTACTTATTAAAGTGTGTATGAAATTTAATTGTAGATTGGTTTTTGAAAAAAATATTAAAATGTTTTTTATTTTTTACATTGACATATTAAATTATAATAAAATACAAAAAAATATTAATTTAATATTTTTTTCAAATTAAATATATTTTAAAAATACACTCAAACACAAAAATGAACATCGCTTAAATATATAAAGTAATTGAGTAAATTTTATTATTGTGTTTTTAAATATATGTTAATTAATAAAAATTGCAGTATATTAAAAATATTTTATTTATATAAAGTAATTTATACACTCTTAAACTTGCATTATATGTGTTGAAATTTTTTATGAAAGTGTTCTTAATTTGGTTTAAAAAATAAAAGAAAAAAATTAAATAGGATATATATATATATATATTATAATAGAACAAATCATTTTAATAAAATCAATGATAAGATGAAGATCTAATAGATGATAACATTCTTTTCTAATTACGGAATTATAATTTGGGTGGAAAATCCACAAATATTCCTTTATTAGTTTGTTGGTGATAATTTGGATGGTTTTTTCCACTTAAAATCCATTACAAGGTCTGGATTGTTTTCAATTAATTAATAACATTTCTTGGATATATCCCTCGAAGGATCTTGAATTAAGATCTAAATTTGATTTAGAAAGTGTATAATTGCTCAGATGAAATTAATTTCTAGCTTTGATTTCTTCATAACGATCCGTGGACCTTGGATGGTGCACAAAGACAAATAATTGAAGAGTTTATTATAGCTTAGTCCGTGCATTTATTAAAACTAATTAACTAGTCCTTGTAGTTTCACAAAATACACATTTAACTCGTACACTCTTAAATCATTTACAGTTAAATCCTTTTTGTCCATTTCATGTCCTTTTACCCTTCTTTTTTTTTAAAAAAATAAGTAAAAGAAAAGAAAAGATGGATAAGATGAAAAGATTGATGGAAAAAAAGACATTTTTTGAAATAAAATATCACTACATTAAAATCATGATCACCTCTACCAAAGGATTGTTTAATTTATTTAGATTGAAGGATAATAACCAAGTAATGATTAATTCATAAAGGCATAATTTTTTATTTTTTTTTGCACGACTCTTTGGATGTGTAGGAGTATTTTTGTGTAGTGAGACTAAATCTCCCAACAACTATACCACTATATAAAATTAGAATTATTTGAAAGTATTCCATAAAAAAACATAAAGGGATTTTAAAAAAATAAAAAAATAAATAATCTTTCTGTTAACGCCAGTAAATTACATTGCATTATACTCCCCACAATTCTCTTAAATAAATAAACTATGGAGACGGGATATGACAGGAAGTTTTGTATCTGAGATTGCAATGTATTAATGATAATACTCCACGAGTTGCAGCCGGGGATGTAGCTCAAATGGTAGAGCGCTCGCTTTGCATGCGAGAGGTACAGGGTTCGATCCCCTGCATCTCCATAGTAATTTCATTTAATATACATATAAATATTTCAAATATGTATGTTAACTATTTTATTTTTTATTGATTAATAAATAAAAGTGGGTAATAAACACGCATTAAATATCCAAAATACAGTAAATAGCTAATGGATATCTAAATTATTTATTTAATAAATAAAATATAAATATTAAAAAATTCAACTCTCGAGTATTTGTTATTATTTTTAATATTTTATTGTTATTTTTTTTTTATTTATGTGAGTATTTGGACCAGTTTGCGCGCACCACGACTAATTTCCCGCTTTACTAAACATCCTGTTAATCCAGTGAACATATTAAATACTGCAAGGTAACAGATATACACAATAAAATTCAAACATAGATGCTGAGAAAAATAAACAAATTTCTTCCTAGACTAAATATTAAAAAATTAAACTCTTGAGTATTTGTTATTATTTTTAATATTTCATTGTTATTTTTTTATTTATATAAGTATCTAAATCAACTTACACGTATCACAATTAATCTCATGATTCACTAAACATGTAAATCTCATGATTCACTGAACATGTAAATCTAATAAACATATCAATTCACTAAATATGTAAATCTAATAAACATATTAAATACCGTGAAGTAACAAATATATATAAAAAATTCAACTAGATGCCGAGAAAAATAAACAAGTTTCTCCCTAAGCTAAATAGCACAAGTGCACCCATTGTTATTTTTTTTTTTTTTTTTTAATATTGAAGGTCGGTGAATAGAGTACCCGATACCCTTTGCCACATGATCGGTGAAAAGTGCTCGGCAACGAGGATATGGGTGGGGTGGTGGGACAATAGCGATGGATATTTAAAAATATTATAAGTGGATTATTATAGAAATAAAATATGAGAACTAGAAAATCCACGGCTAAGGTAAACCGACGGTTCATGACAGAACACTATCTATTTAATCAATAATAATTATGAGTGGAATGATATTGATTCAACGAGAAAAGCAGAGAATGGTAAGAAGCTCTTTTGTGGATCTCCATTGCTTCTTGCTTCATCGCATGCGTTCCTTGAGTCAACCATGGAGCCTAAGAAGAAAGTCAAGGATCAAGATGCTGAAATACATGGATAACATAACTGTGATATCCATCTTCTCTGAACCTTCTGATAGCAACTTAGGGTTGTTAGAAGGGGGGGAAATGGCGCAGATATGGTACTGTCAGAGAAGAAAGATAAATTTTATGTCCTTGTTGCTTACTGAAACCAATGACCAGAAGGCGGAAGGTCTGCATTATAAGTTCTGTAGAAAAACTAAACTTCTCTGAATAATCATATCCAGCTACACCTGTTTTAGAAAGAGTTGTTGATCTATGTCGCTTTTATAAACCAACAGGGAAGGAACTGGGTCAGTGGATACTGCTGCAGTGTTTAAGATGAAACCTGTTCTCGAGATTCCAATGCAAGAACATCTCCAGACCCAGCAGCACCAAGACTGTCTTCTGCATCGTCTGAATAATTAAAGAGAGAAGAAACTAGCAGTCCATCTGAACAATGGTTTCCTTGCGAGACATCTCGCCTTGGAAATCTCAGGATGCTCATCTGCAATCTTTCCCAGAAGCTCTTCAGTAGTGGTTCGAGGCTCGAAATCTCGGAAACTACGCATCCTAGAGCCCAGGTTTAAGAGGGTGCCTCCTGTACATGATCGACTACATACTCTGGCGCCATATACAAAGCAAACCTCACGAGACAAGGAACATGCTTGATGCTTCCTTTTGTTGTTCTTCTCAGCTTTCCTCGCCAAACCAAAATCCTCTGTTTTTGTCACAGAATCAGTAATGCCAGTGCCAGCCCCTTCAGTCAACAATCTGTCTTATTCTTCCAATGATGAATTGCGATGATCAAGAGATCATTAAGTCCTATATAAATGTTTAACTCAGTGAGAGAGAGAAAGCGATAGTTTCGCTGGTTTAAGAATAATGTCCGTTCATATATCACAAATTGGAAACCCCGTTCATGTATCACAAGCTGGAAACCCATGATCCAAAATTCCAGTTCATCGGTTTGAGGACAAGCTTCAAGAAATAGGCTATGTACGAGGAACCTGAAATGAATCCACACGCATAGGTCACTATTTAAAATCTTCCCTGAACACGAAGTCCACTCCCAGGGCAGTTGTTTGCCCTGAAAACTGACAAAGGCGGGCTCCTAGCTTCTGTAACCTTGTCATTGATAAGGGCCAAAAATGCTAAATAAAACTCGAACAAAAGAACTATGGTCATCTCCTGCGTTCTTTATATTCACAAACTTCCTTTTGTTAACAGGAGATCTGGTTCAAATGCTGCATCTACAGTGGGAGCAATATTCATTAATGACGACCTTAGCGTGGTTTCATCATCAAACACCATAAGAAACTATTTAACAAAAGCTTATAGTTTTCTGCTCGTCACATGTTATCTCAGAGCAATCAAGCTCCTGTATCAAAAAATGCTGTTTATGTTTCCCACTGTCCTTCGTTCATCCAATTGCAATCAATTGCCTGCACGAAAAATATATACTAGTTATATGAACAGAGAAGACAAATATCAAAATACTTCTATTGCTGGAGTCGAGGAAGTTGAAAGCACACTGTAACCTTTACCTCTTCATGATCAAGCTAGAATGTCCTAACATGTACTATTCACACCTCTGCAATATGCACTTCCACAAGAACATCGAAATGCCTTTATTGGATGGTCATAATCATCAAAGTCGATTCCGTAATCCTGCAAAACATTTCGTGTCGATTTTCTTAGCAGATATATTCAACAAAACTCAACTGCAGAGCACACTGAAACAGGGACATAAAGTATTTAATGAGGCATGCGTTCTAAATTGCATAACAACAGGAAGCCCAAAACATTAGTTAGAAATGGATTGTCTGTGCTGTTAACCAGAGATGTTACAGTTCAGACTTTGGATAAAACCACAAACCACTTTTCCAATAAAGAAATTAGATGTTTTATCTGCCCAGCCAGACACAATCGACAATGAAAGCAGATCCTATCTGTTATTAGAACATGGAAATAAGAATTGACCAAAAGTTGCAATTTGAACACACTTCAAAAAAGCAACAAGGAAGCAGAGTTCAAATAAGCTTTACTCGAGATAATGGCTACCAGTACCAAACAAGCTTCAGTCAGCTTTTTCTAGGGCTTGAAACATCATTTGAATAGGGCATCGGCATAAATCACTTAATAGTACCAGGTATTTGTATAGAGAAGTACACATCTATCTATTTTAAAAATTTTGAGTAAAATGGTCAAAGTCTCAAGCCAGAAAGCATGGATAGTTCATAGCGTTGGTGTCAACCACATTGTATTAAAAAAAAAAAACCAAAAAGAAAATGGACGTCACATGATACCTAGAAAGTTGAAACCCCATGCTGATAGCAGCATGCTTAACGTGGAAGACAGTTTGGTGTATCTTAGGAAAGTGAAGGCTTTTTCTCAACCATCAAACGAAGAATTTGTTCATAGTTCTCACCTTAGGGACATTTCCTACACTTAATATACCATTCATCGATCATTCTGTCAAGTTCAGATGCATTGGAAATATGCTGACAAACACATCCATTCTGTAATATGGAGAGGCAACCAGTGACCACTAGCCTCCTGTTGCCTGTTGTAGAAGTTTAAATTGGTTGGATATTAAGGACGGGACAGCACAAAACACAAGAAATTGTGCACCTATTTCACTATTTTCCTAACACAAATTTTCTTGCAACCCTGGGAAAATAGCCTAATCAACCCTGGGAAAATAGCCTAATCAGTCCATGTATAATGGGGCAAGTTTTCAATCTGTGTTCATATCTTTAACTGAGTCAATTTTATCCTTAAAAATGACTGAGTTTCTAATCTATCATTTTGTTAACTTTTTCCATCCAAATTAATTGAATCGGTCATGCACGTGACTCAATATTATACTGAAAATGACCTTGATCTTTATAGACGTGTCAGTAACATGCAAAAACAGATCATGCTGGACCAAACTTCTCTCCCTAAACCTCCTTCTCCTCCCCTCTCCTTTCTCTCTTTTTTGACCCCCTCCTCCTCCACCGAGTTTTCCATTTTTTGACTGGTTATGTTAAATTGGACAGAAAAGGTTAGCATAAGAATATATTGGAAACTCAATCATTTTATATGGATAAAATTAGGACATATTGGAAACTCATACAATAAAGGATATAAGGACATATTGGAAACTCATCCAATTATGTAAGGACAGATTGTGCCATTTCCCCTGCAAGGAGTCACAAAAAAATGCCAATCAAGAGTTTTTTACTGTGTGTTGGACAGAAAGGACAATCTTCTTGGTCCAACTCTCTACCAGGAAGATTAAAATGGCAAACCTAAATGCTTATGGGCAGTTTCACTAGGATGATTATTCATTTCTGGATTTTCATGCTACTTTCCCAGATTCCCAAAAGGTAGAAGGTGCAAAGTAAAATAAGTACAAGTCAGCGTCTCACTGAACTGTACCAAAGCCATATTAATCCAATCATCACCAAGGATGGGAAGACGAGCTCAAGGGAAGGGAAATATTTTTTCTCAAGATGAAATTCCTGGTACTGAACTTAGCTTCTTTCACATTCTTTTAGAAATTCCCCCAAAAAAAAATCTATGCAAATAATTCTCCTGCTAATTCATCATGCTATTCATCTGTTTATATGTTTATTTATTGTGCATCAGTATGGAATGACAAGTGTTACTGATTCTTTCTTTTTTCCAAAACATAGAAACAATGCAACCACATGCCTCACCATACATGTTGTTTGAAGGCTAAAAATTTGCATAAACATACTTGTTAAATAAGCAAGTACTGCCAGATCAATTATTACTAGAACCCACTTACCCACGTCAGTTCTTCTGAGGCAGTTACATCCCTTGTAGTGAAAAAGGCAAGCTGCATAAGGGGAAGAGAAACAAGCTCTTCAAATGTGGCTCTTCAAAAATGGGTTGCAAAGAAACTTAAAAAAAATAAAATAAAGGAAAGGAAAAAGGAAAAAATGTAAGAGACATGGGCAAATGATACCCCAAAAATGCTTACATGGTAATAATGACGATCAGGGGTTTCCACTTCAACTGGAATATCGATCAAATTTCCATCATGACATCTGCAAAAGGAGGAAACAGAGAATGATATGATAGAGAAAATGAAATGGAAAACATGGGAAGTGAGGAGCACAACTCAAACAAATTAAAGGGAAAACCTAGAGTTGCAGCAGAAAATCAGTGTTGCTCAAGTTCATGCAATATGTATCATAAAAGCAAACAACAAAGTTACTTAAGTCAATTGCATTGAGTTGGTGAAGTTTCTTAAGTTTCTTCATTCTATAACAGTTTTACAAGAATGGGGCCCCATCTATTACAAAGGTTATAGCAATAAATGAAGAAGTAAAAAACATTCCCATTCCAAATATGCATTTCACAGCAACTCAACCCAACACACATTCTGTTCGATATGCTTAGTTTTTTTTTCTTCAAAAAAACAAAAACTTTTAACTCAAAGAAAAGTTTCATATATATGTTTAATTACAAACAAATTTTAACTTGAATCGAATGGTTAATTCAAAATTTGAGTTTTACCTTATTGATTCTAACTTCAGCTATATTCTATTGTTTTAAAAAATAGCTTTGGGTTATTTTTCGACGAACATACTTTTGACCTAAATTGATTTTACAATAAGTTGTTTATGAAAATAACTTTGATTTAATCATAAATATTAATTAAAAAGTATATTAAATTTTGTTTACCCCAACAAACAATGGGATTCTTTATGATATTTTCCATTAAAAAGTAATTAATTAAGAAAAAAAGAGGAACAGATACAATATGTCATAAAAAATACTTCTTCTCTCATTTTTAAACTTACAGTAGGCTTGCTTCCTCCTCACCTTTGTCTTTTAAGAAATTTGTCATTGCTCTGCTTCTATTTCTGTTCATTTTAATGGAGCTTTTAGGTCTTCCTTTTATTCCATTCATATTGTCTGTTACACAAGTACTGATGCTAAATCAAGGGATTGTAACTGTTTCAAGTGTCATTTCAGGTACCAGTAGTGTTTGATTAAGTAATTAATATAAAAATGTAACCCCTTCTGACATGAAATTAAAGAAATAAAATAATATTTAGATATTAAAACTGGAATCCCTGGTATAATAAGAGGCAAGTAGGTAATGTGAAAACAAATGGTGAAAGCAAGAAAACATTCCAGTCTACACAAATGCATGCACACAAGTGAAGTAGAAAGCATCACCTATGATTAATAAATCTTGCAACATTGCCACTGAAAGTTGCATCAAGACACAATGCTTCTTCATCCCTCAGTACTTTCTCTGAGCCCCAGTCTGCATCAAGTGTAACAGGATAAGTATGTCTGTTATTGCCTCTGTTCTGAATCTGAATATTTCGTTCATACAACTCTGTGTTGGTCAGTATTTCCCCAACATATTCACAGATGAAGGATCCTTTAGGCAAATCCTGAAGTGTCCTAAGACCCCAGCCTTTACCTTGAGGAGTCATGAACACCTGTGACAGGAGTAAAACATCAAGAGATTATCGACTACTCACTTTGAAAGCTATCCTCTCACAAAATTATGCAACTACAAACACACTGATACATAAATCAATATAAAAAGTACAATCTATTTCAAGCTAATAAAGTAAGGATGCTAATGCAAATACTAGTGATGTAACTATACCAATAAAATACAAACTTGTCTTCACTTGCCTTCGACCATGGAAGTTTCAAAAGCCAAGTTATATAAGCTAATCTGGAACCCATCCTAGAAACCATTCTAAAGTCAAACATTTCAGATCAAATAGGGTAGTGAGTAGTGTCGATAACATTTTGACCAATATCTTGGCTAAGAGACTAAGAATGGTGTTGAGGGATGCTATGCAAAAGGCATTTTAGAGAAGGTAAATGATAGTTAAAATACTTCTAGCTAATTAAGTTGTGGATGAAGCTAGAAGGAGACCGGGGGGCGGTGTGGGGGGGTGGGGTTATTGGGAAGATTGGTGGAAAGGAGATAACCACCTTCTTTATTACTTTCCCACTTCTCTACCCTTCTATTATCTTCATCGTTCCACCATCGCAAATTTCAATAATCCCAAGGAAGTGAGAATTATACCCTTCATTATATTGAAAATATAATATGATAAAGAGTCAGAAGCTTCTCTCACCCAAATCCTTAACTCTGTTCACCTTTCCTCTAGAAGGGACAAGAGAGTATCATAACCAGAACTTTCAGGAAACAATTTTTGCATATTCCTTGTACATGAAAATCCCAACCCACACTCCATGATCCCCTAATCTACCTCTAGAAAAGTGTATCTGGAAGGCAAAGGTAGTTTGTAAGGTTTAAAAGACATGCATGGTTCTGTAATCAAAGCAACTTTGCAGGAGCAACTGATATAGCAAATTCAGACTCTGATCAAATGATGAAACTAGGAAAAATGGTCCAAATCCTATACACACACACACACACACAAAAAAAAAAAAAACCAACAAAGCTAAGCTAAAAAACCCAAGCTCTCCTCGCTAGCTTAATGTTGACCAGCTTTTAGGAGGGCAAGCAAGATGGAGTTCAGAGACAAGACAAGTCGGACTACTTTTTGAGATATGATGCCATATCTAATCCCTTTCCAATTTATCCATTCATCCTTTTTCCTGCCTTCGCGACCTTATTTTCAGTAGTAAGCAAACAGAAGAATTCATGACCTTATTTTCAGTGGTCAGCAAACAGAAGAATTCACACTTCTTGAAACAAGATAACCCCTAGAAGACTCAGATAATAGATAAGTATCAGCAGCCTGACCATTCCTTCCAGCTGCCCTTACTGGACTAGGTAACTGCTGATTTCAATAGCCAAGTTAAGCTTTCCAGCATGCGAAACAGATGCAGTGTCTGTCTTCTCCTCTGCTGCTAGGTCTACCCCCCCCACCCAACCGTGTGTTCCAAGGTCCTTGTATGGGAAGCAGAGAGTGGACACTCCTGCAGAGAGCCAGATAAAGGGAGACATGAACTGGACAGCTAAACCTTGGTCCACAGCCCTTAACAAGATCAAAACTAAATTCTTGCAATTAAAAGACCCCAAAAGGTTTTATCTCCAAACTTGTATGTGATGTGTTTTTTTGCCTTCATGAAACCCTGAGCCATCCATGCCTCCACTGTTCAATAGCATGGAGGATTTGTGTTGGCTTTTTTCTATTTTTCAAAAGATTTTGTCTCCACCCTGATAGCCTGGAAGAGGTACTTTTACAGAGGGATTTTGAGACGTTCAAAGGATGGATGCTGCTGCAGAAATGTGATGTATGCTATTACAATTGTGCTTGGTACCAGCGCAATTCAAGAATTTTCCATGATGAGAATCTTCTATTCCTAGTAATTACATTGCTTTTTTTTACCCTACTGCTGTGCTGCAGGTTTTTCAGGAGCATTTAAAAATACAAAAGGATTAGAAAGCTTTGTTGCACTAGTTTTATTCTGTTATTTTTTAAGGCTAGGGTTGCAGAAGGATGTCCAGTCTCATTATGTCATCCTTCTCCTTCTATATGATGAGTATTTCTTCTTCTGTATAAAAAAGAAAGATGGTATAATGCCATTCTAACAGAAGTTGCTTCCAAATGTCCAAACATCAAATGGGCAACTAAAGATATAATTGGAAAGTCAATTTGCCATCAAAACCGCTATCAGAGATGTCAAAGTGTATCTTACCTGCAAGTCGCATGTAATACCACGTTGAACCACTCGATTTCCACAAGTCATGTGACATCCACATTTTCTCCAGCATTCTTTAATAAACTTTCTGAGCAGGTGACCCTTGCATGGTTCAGGCAAATCCTCATTCTTTGATCTCTCTAATGGACAGTCTTGACAATAAACAAAATGGTCTTTTTTAGGGGCCCGTCTCATGCACACACAAGCAGTAAGAAAATCATCTTTCAAAAGGCCTTTCGGAGTGTAAGCAAATTCTCCACCAGTTTCACGAGCACATGCACAGGGTATCCGAGAAGAAAGGCAATCACCTGAACAACTTGAACAGCAATCTACATCTGCTATCCGAGCCAGTGAGATTTGCACGTAAGCATTTTGATATATTATATTCTGTGGTATATAAGTGAACTTTGGGAAATCCTCATTGCCAGATTCATCTACCAATGAAATTTTGACATTTTCTGCACCCTTTGTTATATCATTGAGACTTCGAACAGACCTCTTCTTGTCACAAGCAGTTGCTTTGTGCTTAGCCTTTAGTAAATTCTTAGAAGAATGTGGCAATCTGAAAGAACTTGAAGCCTTCTTGTCCACGACCATATCGGAATTGTCAATTCTTAAAGCTTTGTTGTTTGGCAGTGGATCATGAAGTTGACCCACTTGCACATAACATTCACACAAATCTTTGAATAAAGTCTTCATAGAAAATTCAGGTGTGACAAGTTTGTGTGTCTTGAGATATTTATCCTCCAAATACTTGAGAACTGAATTGAAATCTGGAACTTTGAAGTTTTGACATCTAACTGCAGAATCACAGTTCAGTGAAATTTTTACTTCTCCAGAGGTTGATGAAGCAATAAGAACATTGCTATTACAGTACATCCTATCCTTGGAACTTGAAGCATCACATTGAGATCCCAGGCGAGTTACCAAATTATTCCCATTTGTTGAACCAACAAAAGAACCTTGAAAAACTAACAAGCAAAGATAGAAGGTCAGGAAAATAAAATAAAAAAAAGAACAGTTATTGACAGGTGCAGAAGGTGAAAATTAGTAGGAAGAAAGCATTAATTCTATAAGAGCATGACAGTAGAAAAGATGCCATTAATTACCAAGCATCAGATTTTAACAGTAAGGATCCAAAATAAAAAGGGCTATACGTTAAATGAATCTAAACAATTACACCAAACTAACATTAATGAGCTTTTTACATAACATGGACATCTACATTCACCGTATCTAAATAAAATTAAAAAAAAAATGGAGAGCATAGTAATTTTTCTCCAGGTGTATGACAGCCACCTCTATAGAAGATATGGCCCATCCTCGACTTAAAATTTGCATTTCTTGATTTAAAAGTTAGTATAGAGGATGACAGAACAAGGCTTAAACTCTAAGATATCATCCAAGTATGCTGATTATTGAACAGGATATTAGATCAATAAAAGAAAATAGACCTGATGCTTTTCACCACCATTTCCAACTCTTATCCCTAAAAGGTACATGCAAGTAAAACATATTTAGGTTTTACATTGCAAAATTCACACCATCATCCATGGAACACTGAATGAATCAAGGAGACAATCATATTCTAGTACAGGCATTATCAAAAGTAGAGAGTTACCATTACCTGGATGAACCGCTGCTGGGGGTTCTGCAAAATCTGCCTCATCACTGACACTTTGCTTAGTTCTCTGCTTAATAAACACTCTGGTGTGACAATTACTAGGCATTTTTTCTTTCCGAGGATGAGAACTGCGAGGTTCAACAGCCAGTTGTTCAGAAGAAAATGCGCATGATGCCCCCTTACAAGTTGAGTCTTTAGGAGCCATTGAAGAGAAAATCATTTTTTCAACTGGGCTCAGACTATCTGTTGAAGAAGAAATCTGATCTTTCTGTTGTTCAAGATGTGGTATCTTGGAGGGTCTTTCATACACAGAATGTTCCATGAGACTTTTCTCGTCTGATCCCATCTATTCATAGAAAAAAAAAATTCATAGAATAAGGATTTTAATCATCTGCAAAACAAAGCTACCAACACTGTAAATCATGTCTTCGCAGGCATGACAACTTGACAGGCTTCCCAGAGAAATTTATCGGTAAAAAAGATGACAATGAGAGCAGAGGAAATATTGAGTAAAATCTACCTTACTTTCCTTCGACTCAAAATATGCATCTATGAGTGCCCGATAATCTTCTGCTTCAATAAGTTCCCATTTCATATCAAACAGCTTCAAGAGATTTAACAGCACTGGCTTCACCTCTTCGTCTCGAATTCCTAGAGCTCTTGTTGCCTTGAAGGCACAGCTAGCTCTCTCTCTGTTGGCCATAAATAACTATTAAAGGGAATAAGCAACTCTTCAGTTTGATAACTACTGAAAGTCAAATCTTCAAATCACACATTCTCAAACCCTAACAAAATACAAACTCCATAGCACTTTGGTTGTACAAGATAAGTCTTCTTAATTTATGGTGTCTCTAAAAATAATCATGCACATAGTCAAAACATACTACAATTTATTTTGTGGATGGGTGGAGTAAAAGAAACAGGTTAACTAGAATAGAAACAACAAAGCGATCCCCTTTATGCATAGTTCAAAACTATAATCTTTTGAGTAGGATTCTACAACTGCAACTCGAAATGTAATGGCACTTGTGTAAATTGCTCAACACTACACCACACAACATTAATTTCTATTCTTATGGTTATTATTGGTAATTATTTAATTTTCTTTAAAAAAAAAACCCACACGGTGGACACATCTACTAACAAGGAACAACAAACTTTCCACTTGGTTCAAGTCACAAATTTCCAAATCAAAACTTTCAAAAAATAAAAATAAAAAAGAACAAAAAGATGGAGCAGAGACAGCCAAGGAAATCATCTATGTAAAACCACCTCAAAGTAAACTACACAGGCCTACTTAAGCATAAATTCAGGTTTTCTATCAACCTGGCACTACCATAGGCCTCATATGATGTCGTTTCACAAATTTTAAATTACAACCTTCAACACAGTTTGGTAACCAAGATGTGAAACGAGACTCGAACCAATTATTACCTTCTATTTCCTTCAAATTCCCAGCAACCGAAACAACAATTAAATTACACCAGACACAGTTTCACAATTCAATTTCATTCCACCACTAAAATGAATCTATTCAGCTTTCCATAACCCACTGTTCTGTTGCTAAGCAAAACAAAAGCAAATTTGAACCTTTGGAGTTTGGATTTTTGTGAAACCAGAGAATGAAAAATTAAATCCTTCACCTCAACTAAGCCTTTGAATCCAACCACTCCAAAGCTTCAATTAACGTGAGACTTCCATTTTTCACAAACCAAGGGCATAAAAACCCAACCCCGGAATCAAAATTTTCCCACATTTCCCTCTGTTTTCTCAGCAACCAAACAACCCTTTTCTATTCACTATAATACCCAGAATTTCTCACTTTATAACCCAAAAAATAAAAACAAAAACAAAAACATGGCCATATTTTTTTTCCAGTATTTATTAAAACCCGAAAATCGAAGCATCATGTTTGTTTAACAAAAACCACGGGAAAAAAAAAAACACGAAGCATGCAAAAGTTTGGTGTGAAGTGAGTTTTCTCCGCAACAAGACAGAATATAAATTTCCTTAGCAACCAAGCAAAACACAAATACCCGGAATGACCAAACAAGCTGAAATAAAACGAATAACGAAATTCGACGGAAAAAGAAAACACAATATTCGAGATTTCTATATGGTCATCGAGAAAGAGGAAAACTTGCATGCATTTTCTCGGTAACCAAACCCAAGAAAAGAGAACAAAAATTATTATAAACCTTAAAACCCATTAAAAAAAAGGAGAAAAGAAAGAAAGAAATTACAGAGTCGATAATAATATTAAATGTAACATGCAAATACGTGAAAATGAACAAGGTCTTTCTATTTTTAACTTACTAAACTGAGCTTTCGATTCTAAAATGCCTTTTCTACTTCGTGGATTTTGGTTTTCTTTTTCTTTTCGAGATTTCGAAATTCTTTTGGGAGTCGTCTAGTAGACCTTGAGAAATACAGATTGTTCTGGCAACCAGGACGTGTATATTTATAAATATTCTTGAAATGTTGGGCTTAAATAGCAAGTGGGCTTATGATGCTGATGGAAAAAATAGGAAAAAAAATACATACGTAATTACCGTAAAATTCTAATTTAAAATTTCCTTTTTAAAATATTTTTCTCTTTTATTAGTTTTTCTCTTTCTAAAAGTCTAGGATCTATTCAAAAGGATGCTAAAATTTTATTTAAAAAAATTATATAAAAAAATATTAAAATAATACATATTTTTTATTTTTTAAAATTTATTTTTAACTTTAATACATTAAAATAATTTAAACACATTAAAAATTTAAAACTTTTAAAAACACTATTGTATCATAATATGATATGAGCTTCCAATTCTCTAAATAAATGAAAATAGGAAAGTAAAGATATAAAGTAACTACAATAGTACCATCAATTATAATAAATAAAGATTTATTTCTTTTTTAGTAAAGATATAAAGTAACTACCATCAATTATAATAAATAAGGATTTATTTATTTTTAGACCTTGTTGGATATTGTATTAGCGATTGTTTTTAAAATATTTTTCACTTTAAAATATATTAAAAAATTATTTTTAACTTCAGCGTATCAAAACAATCTAAAAATATAAAAAATATTTAAAACATAGAAAAAATAATTTTTTTTCAAAAGCATTATCACACGTGAACTCGTGGCATTGGAAGGTCACTTAGATGTTTGGTTCAAAGTTACTAAGAAACCCCGGTATATTAGTTTTATCAGAAATTTAAAGATAAGAGACTTGTTGTGGTTAGAAAAGCTATTAGCATATTTAGCGTATCTTATCTGAGATAAATTGTTTTGTGTTGTTTGATGTAATTTAAAGATTTTGATAGTTTTATGATCGATGGTCTATTTGTGGTTTAGAATTGAGATTTATTCGTAATAATGAATCCAGTGTTAAGAATTTATTATAGATTTTTGTACCCAAATAAATTCTTATGAGAAGGTTTTTTGTAATTTGTGTATTACAATGAAAAATACTCTCAAAATATTTATAACAACTTTGAGATTTTTTCTAGTCAACCCCTAATATTTCAAATACTAGTTTCACTTGTAGGTCCAATGTTTTATACCAGAATATTAACTATTAATTTTCATGGATTAAAATACAATGATTATTGAAATATTGATCAAATTCTCATGAATCTAATAAATTGATTATTAAATCCTAAAATGCATGCCAAAATACAACCGAGATCTAATGAAAATTTAAGAATAGCTTATAGTCTTTGACATCTAAAAAGAAGGTTGTAATAACAAAATGGACATGTGAGAATTTGGTCTCTCTTTATAAGAAGGGAAGTCTAGTTTCTTTTTCAATCGAGAAGAATTGTCTTTCTTTCAACGGAGCTGCATTTTCAATCCGTTTAGTCAATCTCGTATCTAAGTTCCCTTATTTGTTTACGTAACACTCTTGATATTGAAATCAGCACCCTTACCATGTATGTTTTGTAGGAAGTTTCTGACTTCCTCTATATTTTTTAATTTTTATAAAAAAATATTAAACGATATGATTTCTTCATGGTTTTTAGAGATTTGGTCGCTTGTAATTAAAAGTATTTAATTTTTTACTTTTTATTTTTCCTTTTTTTTTCATTGATCTAACACAAAGTAAAAAAAAAAGCAAATAAAAAAAATGCACACACACATTCTCTGTTTTACTATATTTTACTCACACACACCCATAATTATCAATTTACAAATCATCAAAATTCAAAATAATCAAAACAATACATTAAATATTTACAAAAGTTTACAAATCAATCTAGAGAAATTGTTGAGAATTCGATAATAGTGTTGGGAAGCTTCTGAGTTGCAAGAACAGTAGTTGTATGTGGCTCTCAAGCACCAACACTACTAGAAGTGCGCAAGCCAGTTGATCGGGAATGATTTCTTCTCGTACTTCTTTCTATGCTAGAGATGAGAGCTACCGCCACCTAAGAAACCCAACAAATCACACAAACAAATCTATCGGATTTAATTTTTTTCTTAGATTTTTCTTTCTCTTTTTGTACTATAACTTATATTCTTTTGTTTTCAGATCTACTCCTCTCTATTATCTATAAATTAGGGTTGTTATGGATGGAGGGAGGCTAATGACACTGCCACAGGAAAAAGAGAAGAAAGGGAAAACAATTACGTTGCCATGATTAACGGTGGGAGAGGAAGTGATGATGGATTGCATACTACTTGCAATGCAGCTACAGTTATGGCCTATAAGTTTGGTGGGTATGTTGATAATGAGTCGATAATGGGTTGGTTTGGTAGAGAGAAGGCCATTTTTTTTTGTATGGGTAAGGTTGGATGGGAGCTATTTTTAGACAAATAAGGAGTTACAAGAGATGGTGATGAAGGCTATTAGTGAGGGTGCTAGTTTTAAGAAAACTAGAGGAAAGGCTAAGGTATATGGTTGGATATGACAGTCGATGATGTTGAACTTATTTGATTAATGATGGAGAGAGATTGATTGGCTCATGGTGAAATTTTTTGTTGTGACCGAAAGAGGGAGAGGATGAGCTACCAATGTGAGGATGGCTATTGATGCTACTGTTGATTATGTTGCTTATGATCGTTGACTAGGAGAATGGTAGCTGGCCTAACAGGTTTGGTGAGAAGGGGATCGATTAAGAAAGGAAAAGTTGTGTTAGAGCTGTTGATTTTGTGAGACTAACAAAGGGGGCTAAAATGAAAGTTTTAGTGGAGGATTTCTGGATTGATATATGTTGAATGGTTTGCTGAGATATTGATAATGGCGGATGATCCAAAGCTAAGGAGGGGATCCGTGGTCATCTTTGGCCAGTTTTGTATTTTTTCTTTGCCTCTCATCTGGCTAATATGGTATAATAGGTTTAGGGTTTTTTTAGTGTGGTGTGGGTGTGGGGGAGAGAATGTAAGAGTGATTTTTCTTTAACTCATTCTCTTCTTCAACCCCCTTTTAAGTGTAAGTATATATAGATCAATCATTGAATTTTAAAAATAAATCACAATTATTTATTTCTTAACTCAAAAATAAAGTAAAGAAAAATAAAGTTTTGAGTTAAAAGAATTGATTGTAGATCATTTGATTAAAAAAGACGGGTTGTTTGGTGAGAGGGTTTTAGATGTTTAAATTGGTCATATTCTTTCCACAATTATAATTAGATGTTTAAAAAAATAAATATATTTTTTTCTTTTTTTTCTTTTTCTTTTTTTTAATTATTTGAAGAAAGGTATTGCAAACAATGCAAATACATCAACAATATATTTTTAACTTTTTTTTTGTTTTTTTTTAATAATTAAATACAAATAATAACTTTTAAAACACAAAAATAAATAGGTTTTTATAGGGTTTGTTTCTCCCTTTATCCACGCATAGGTGTACGGGAGAAGAAAAGAAAAGGTATCTGGTTGGTTTTCGATGATTACTATGATGTTCCCTCTCCCGAAAAATTATTTTATAAATCTTTCTTTCCCGAATTTGTAAACTTTTTCTGTAAACATAAGGTTAATGATGCTTCTGTTTTTTCCCCTTCAAATGCAGTTAAAAAGTATTTGAAGTAATAATTGTTTTTTCAAGTATTTTTTATTAAAAAATATATTAAAATATTATTATTATTATTATTTATATCCACATATCTAAAAAATAATTAAAAAAACTACAAATTTTACTTAATCTTGTTTAAAACATAATTCCAAACATGTGTTAATGTAGCAACAGATATAAAGTACATAATCGAACAATATTTTTTTTTTAAATCTTAATATGAAGTGTTTCCCTTAGGCTACTTAGCTTTTCTTAATTATTAAATTTACATTTTACAATTTTATATAAAAACTTAGTTAATTCAGAATATCTCACTAGATCTTCAATTAAATAATAATAAAAATAAAATAATCTAATAAATAAAAACAATTATAATTTTTTTAAATTATGACCCGGTCATTAGACCTAAAGTACCCTACCTAGAAAAATTATAAAATATAATTCTCAATTAATCAAAAATTAAAAATTAAAATTAAAAAAGAATTTTAATTATAATTTTTTTAAAAAATAATAATTAAAAAAATAAAGATCAAAATTAAAATGTAAAATAAATTTATATTTGATTGAGTGGTAAAATTAAAAAGAAAATTATGTACCATGTTAATTAATCACAAACTAATTAAAACTAAGAATAAATTGAAGAAGAAAAAAACAATAATTAAAACATCAATAAAAACGAACAATTAATTGAATCAAATGAAAACAAAAGGGAGAGCAAAATAAACTATTACAATTCGCTGGAATGAGAACAAACAACAACAAAAGCATATTTATTATTTAAAGTCATTTTAACTCTTTTTATTATAAATTATTTATAAAAATAACTCTTAAATCAGAACTCAAAAAATACTTTTTATAAGCTACACCACAATCGGTCTCTCGATCATCTAGCCATGCACAATTAATTTTTAAAAAGAAGAAGAAGAAGAAGAAGATAATCTACTAAGAGAAGGATACAGAACAATTTGTTTACCATATCAACATTCCATGAATTTAAATCTCTATATACTTTACAACAAATCTTATTTCTCGAAGAAATAGTCTTCAAACCAGTTTAAGGACTCATCGAACCATTGAATCCCCACCGGCGTACGCAAGTTAATCTTCCTCCACCTTCTCTTTTCAAGTTCAACCACCCGACATTTTTTATTCTTGGGTTGAAAAGGCAGAAAAGATGGCTCGATAGCCCATCCTTCAAGAAAACAAAGTTGATCTTCATCTAGATAATTTCTGCACAAGGAAATTAAACTGCTCTGGATCATCATAGCAATAGAAATAAAATACTTAATTACTTAGA